TGTTGGGGATTGTCCTTTGTTGGTGACTCTTTCAGAAACTCTGTTCAGTCTCAGGAAACCTAAACTGAGGCCTGATCTCTGAGAGAAGACCAAGCACCCTGTTATGGCATCTGCTTGTTCCTCTCATTCAGTGTCTATGACTTAGTTAATTGTGGGGCAGGGGTAACTACATCAGGTCAAAATTCTACAGATTTTCATTGTTACTCACTATGCACAAAAGGCTTCTTAAACTGGGTGAGTCAGAGAGCCTCTAATTAAGGGTCAGTGGTCACAGTGTTTAAATGCCATTTAATTTCTAGCTAGTGAATAAATTAGTGGAGTAGAGATTCTAAAAGATAATCCGTATAGGTAAAATAACAGTTGGGAGTTACATTGTCCAGATGGTGAACCAGAGGATGTTTGAACCAAGTATGTCATATGTGATTCTTCTCATAGAAGGGTGTGTCTTCAACCCTCTGCCTTATATAACAACTAAGTCATGTTTAATAGGCCTCAAAATACTCTATGACCAGGCTACATGTCTGACTTTCATTAGACATACACAGTCTTCTTCAAAAATGAAGTATATTATATCCCTGTTTTCTTTTACTTTTGAATTTTTGTTTTCTTGAATTTTTATCAAAATGAGCCAGAGGCTAGTAGCTACCCAATGGATAACTTTGGCTGGATCAGGTCACACTATCATAACTCACCTTTGTATTTACTATTTTAAGAGATATCAGAATCAGGCAAGACCCATACATGCATTAGGAAAGTGTGACTCAACTAGAAGCCGGGGCTGTTAGGTGGGCACTGGGGTGCCTATGGGATGAGACTCATTGACATGTTCAAATCAAAGGATCTTCATATCTTCAGTGGGCACTTTCCAGGCATCTAAAGTTTTTTTTTTTTTTTAAATGAACAACTATTGATGTCATGTATCTGGCTTGCCTAACCTTGCTTTGTTGTTTTGTTTGTTAGGTTTCTCAAGACAGGCTTTCTCTGTGTAGCCCTGGCTGTCCTGGAACTTGCTTGGTAGACCAGGCTGACCTCCACTTGCTTTTGCTTTTCTTTGGGAAGTTTTCTTCTTGTTCCTCTTTCCACTGACCAGATGGGGGCAGCTGTTGATGATTTTGGTCTTACCTTCAGGGACTTGTCTCAGGTCTGGCTTGTACCTCAGGCTTCTGCCTTCCTTAAAGGCCTTGTTCATCAGTTCCAGGAGTGACCTAACGCTTGAGTTGTCTTCCTACCTTGGCCTTGCCAGGCTGTTTCTACGGCCGGTCATCCTGGATGGTTGCATTAAATTTCAGTGCCGTGCTTTTTTTTCAAGGATGGCTGAGGGTTTTTAGATAAAAAAGAGACAATTCGTAAAAACCTATTAAAGTTTAGCAAGAAAATCTCCATAATTATTTGTGTGGCTGGATTCTAGCAGATATAACCTAGCTCTCTTGATGGGTGGCATAACCCTATAACAGCTGTGAGAAAGCAAGTCCAAACATGTTCTGTTGGGAAATTCTTAGATCTCTGTCCAAAATGCATCAGCACTACCCCATAAAGCTTGCTGGTCTCTCTGGGATTCTATAGAACCCACAGGATATTTTCTCTGCAGAAGTTTTAACATTTGTTTGTACAGTAGGAACACGATGGCCTGGAAGCAGATGTGCAAAAGACAGCCAGTTGTTTGAGGCAAGCATCACTTACATAGAGGCACACAGACTGATTGATTTTAAAACGTGTGGGAAATATTCTTTCTGTGCTTTCTTGTCACTTACGCCTTCAGAGCTTGCCCATGAGAATAGGGCTTTAGGTATCTTCTACATGTATATTTAAGGCTCACATAACATATACACTTATGTCTAATAAATGCTTGGAAGAAAAATCTAAGGCTCTATCTTGGGTAATGTTCAATACTTATATATTAGCAAGTTTTTTTGTAGTTGTGTAGAATTTCATTATTTGCATGTGTAATAATTTATATTACCAACTCTCATTGATAATTATTGAATTATTTCTAGATCTTAGGCCATCAAAGCAAAAAGTTGGTGAGTGCCATTGCATGAGTTTCACTTTCTGCAGATATGACTGTGTCTGTAAGATACATTCCTGAAGGTAGCATTTCTGACTCCAGTGTATGTACCTTTTTCTTTTTTCCTTTTTTAATTTTTGAGAGAGCCTTGCTCCTGGCTACCCCGGATCTCTCTATGTAGACCAGATTAGTCTTGAACTTACAGAGATACACCTGCTTATGTCTCTTATGTAGCATTTAAAGGTGTACACCACCATACCCCAAAGTATATTTTAAGTTTTGGTGGGTTTTGCCAGCTTGCTTTTTAGGGATATAAGACTGATATAGATTTTTCTGCCCCTAGAAATGTGTGGTGGAGTCCCTGTCTGTTTCATTCACGTTTTTATCTGCATGTTACACCATGTAGTTTTTTTTATCTTTGCCAATCAGATCATTCAAAAAATTATCACATAATTCTACAGTTGCATTTTCCATATGTAACACTGAGCACCTTTTGATTCACATGAATTTCCCTTTGGGTGGTCTATCTCTCTGTCTTCCTATTTATGTACATTGCCACCCATCCTTTGCTCATTTTCCTTGGGCTGTTAGTCTTTTTTTATTGGTTTGTTGTAACAGTTGCATTTTGAGAAATTTAAAGCTGTGTAGATTGAGGAAATTAGAGTGCTTTTCTGTGTCAAGGTTTTTTCATTTTTATATTTGTCCTTTGGCTTTTTATTCTATGGAGCATACATTTTCTTTCTTATTTTAAAGATATATTTTATAATTTAGTTTTTCTGTATTCATGCAGTGTATGTTTACATGTGGGGGGCATGGAGGCCAGAAAGGGGTATTGAACCCTTTGAGTATTGGTGAGCTGCCTGATAGGGGTGCTGGGATCCAAATCCAGTCTTCTGATAGAGCAGTAAATGCTCCAAACCACTGAGCCCTCTCTCTAGACCTCTGTCACAGATTGCTCCGATCCTCTGGATTTTGACTTTTTCTTTCTTTCCTTACTCCCCCCCCTCTTTTTTTGAAGCAGGGTCTCTTGTAGCCCAGACTGCTCTCATACTAGCTGAGGATGTAGTTGAGGATAGCCTTAAACTTCTGATATTCCTATGTTCACATACCAGTTTCTTGGATTATACCTTTATGCAATGCTGGGAAGGAACCCAGGGCTTTATGTATGCTATGCAGGCACTCCCAGCTGAGCTACATCCCCAGCCTTTTGTTATATTTTAGAAGACATATTTACTTCTGTTTTAATCATGCACATTTTTAATTCTTGTTATAAATTCGTGATGGGCATTCTGTTTGAAAAAGTAAAAAAGTTTGGCTATGAAGAAGTGTTTGGGGTTTTTATTTGTGGTATTTGAGTTACTGCACCTGGACTTATCCTGTTCATTTCTCTTCTGTAGTGACAGTAAAGTATAGCAACTGTTTTACAGCAGATGGTTAGCAAGAGGTAAAGTAGAGCAAGTGCTTTACGGCCCATGGGTAACGGGTTCTAGATAACAGATGTAGTTAGGAGTGTTCTGAGAGATTCATGGAGACTACAGAAGATTAGGCCAGAGCTGGGAAATAGGGTCTAGGGTAGCAAAGACCACTTACTGTCTCAGCGTGGGTGAAACTGTCACAGTGAGCAGCAGTGGCGCGGGTTTCCACATTTGGAAAGGTTGGGCTGAGCTTTGGGCTTCGTCAAGGTCTTGAGTTGCCCCTTTCTTCCTAGGCAGCTGTCGATTACTTCCGTGATGTTCAGAGTTCATCAGGTGCTCAAGTGGTTCCCTTGCAAGGAAATAGAAGCTGTGGTGATGTGGGTTCTGGCTTAATTGGTCTCAGGTGGGACCCCAGCCATAGCATTTAGAACTCTGTATGGGATGGAGTCTCATATGCAGCTAGGGGCGAGGATTAATGCCAATGGACTGAGCTTGCAATTCCTTTGTGTAATTTTACTGTACACTGCCCCAGTACCTCCAAATATGTAGCCCCTTCCTGGGGATCCTGAACATATAGCCTCTGGGGCCTGGTGCTGGGTTGCAGACTCTACATGTCTGGTGCTGAGGTGATGGTAATGCTTCTGGTCCCCAGAACACTCATGGGTGGCCTGAGAGCATGTGGTTAGGAGTACTTACTGCTCAATCATGAAGACTGGGGCTTGGATCAGTCATCAGGAGCTCACATAACTCCAGCTCTAAGGAACCCACCCAGCTTGCTCTTCTGGCCTCTACGGCCACACACACACACACACACACACACACACACACACACACGTAAACTTACAGAGACACGTATCCCAAGTCATGCACACACAGAAAGGACTTTCGAAAGGAGAAACAAAGCAGTGGATGATTGAGAACACCTTCTTGTAATCCATATGTTAAAACAACCTGGGTATTTTCAGCTCTCTAAAGAACAGTTCTATGGAAAAGGACTTTGTCTCCTGAAGACAGAACAAGAACCACTGTGCTAAGGGGAACAGTGCAGTGCAAGACAAAGCTTTCTCAAATTATAGTGCATGGAATGCAGGAGCTGCCCTAAGGAAATGGAAAATGCAGGTTCCTCAGAGAGCTCAGGCAGGCACTGTCCAGGAATCTCTCTGTGACATCTCTCCCACTGAAGAGACAGCAGAAGGCCCTGCTCATTTCCAGCCTTGCTGTGAACCCTCAAATCTCTCCATGCACAGTCTTCCTCATGACACGGTCCTTGTCTGTGAGGTTAAATGAGTCTTCAAGTGTTCACCATCCTCAAGTTTTGTGTCTGACCTTGGTGTTGTGGGTTAGTAAAGGGAGCAGAGTAGAAGAGGCACATCACTGAACAGGACGCTAAGAGGCAAGATTCACGTTTACCAAGTGATACGCAGTGTGCACTGGGTTAGTCTTCTTACCCTTGTTACCTCAGCTCATTCAGTGTGTCAAGTTTCTCTTTGCATGGCTTAGAACTTAAGGGTAGTTCTTCAGTGACCAGTTCTTAAATTAATTGTCATTTTTAATGTATTTTTGTTGGTGCAATGCAGGAATGTTCTGATGGCTACATGTGCAAAACACAGTTTCAAATAAAAAATGGGACGACGGCATCACATCTGGGAACACCTGCCAGTGTACACGCATGTCTTCCAACAGAGGTGAGTAGTGTAGTGTGCCGTGGTCTCCTTTGCAGTCTTCATGAAGTATAAATTTAAAACTTTCAGTCTGTTTTATGTATGTTTATATTTTAAAAAATGAATAGCACTTAGGTCCTGGGACTGTTGGTGGTAGGAGTGTGCACGTCATTTCTGAGGGGCTGTTTTCTTGACCGCAATGGAAATAGGAGTGGTGGTGTCCACTGTGGGGCCTTGCAGTTCTGGTGACCCGTCACCCTTTTCCTTGGACTTGAGGACACACAACATCTCTTGCCTTGATTTTCATGATGGCATCTCTCCCTATACAGACCTGTTTCTGAGTACAGTCTACCATTGACTGTTTTCCTAGCCTTTGGGAACTTTGTAGAACCTGAGTCTCATTCTTTAGGCTACTTCGGCTAACTTGAGAAATTTACAAAATTAAATGTCATTGAAGTGCTGAGTTCTTTGTGACTTTCTACATATTTTCAGGTTCTTTTAAATCAAAATGCAAATAGCCTTAGTATGTTTCTTTCCTTTCCTCTTTCCTTCCTTCTTTTTTTTTTTTTCTTTCACAGGGTTTCTCTATGTAGCCATGGCTGTCCTAAAACTCACTCTGTAGACCAGGCTGGTCTCAAACTTATAGAGATCGACCCGTCTCTGCCTCCTGAGTGCTGGGATTAAAGGTATGTACCATCACCACCTGGCACTATGCTTCTTATTCCTAAGAAAGGTTGTACCTATCCATTCTGAAAAATGAACAACAGGGAAATATATAAAGTGAAAGAATTCTCCGATACACCTTCAGGTAGGTACGCAGTATAGTATTTTTGAAAATAGTTTCTATTTTCCTTAGGTTTTTCCTATACATATATTTTGGTACCAAAGAAGAATATCATGGGCATTTCCCATGTTAGTAAGTGCAGAATCCTTAGTTTTCTTGGTGACTGCTTGGCATTCCATTTGATGGCTACAACATAATTATATATTCTTACTTCAGGAAGCACTTGAATTTTAACAGATGGAAGATGATTGATGGGGACCTAATTGCTTTAGCACAAAGAAATAAAATTGTTTAAATTTTGAGCATTTTAGTAAAGAGTGAGGAGATACTTGTGTACATGTCTTTGTGTGTGTGTGTGTTCTCTGTATGCTTGTGTGTATATCCATTCCTGTCTGTGCCTATTAAGGTATGTTCCTGTCTCTCTGTGTGTACGTGTTCCTTTAGGTATGTGTGCATGTTTCTATCTGTATGTACGTGTTCCTGTCTATATATGTGTTCGTGTGTATAATGTATGTGGGTGTGCTTGCACACATGTACCTGCATGCATATGGATGCTAGGTCCGTATGGTGTGTTTTTCTATTGCTCTTCACCTTATATTTTTCAGGCAGGGTCTCTACTGAACCTGGAGCTCACCAGTTTAGCAAGCCTAGATGACCAATGTGAACCAGGGTCTCCTCTTTATACCTCTACTGCTAGGATTACAGGTGCACGCCACCACACTCAGCTTTCGCACGGCTGCTCTGAACCCAGGTCTTCATGTGTGCTCGAAAGCACTTTAGCCCCTGAAGCCGTTTTCTTAGTGGAGATGCTCTTCTTTGTGTGCAGAGGAAGAGGTGCTCAGAATCTGTGAAATTGGATCAATTTGGTAGTTACGCCTTGCTTGCCCACTGCTGCCTGTGTACAACGCTTTCTAGGAGTAACTCCCTCCAGGAGCGTTTGATCCCAAGGCATCCTTGATTGTATGCTCAGTAGTGTTAAGAACTGCATGGAAGTTGCTTGAATCTTAGTTACTGCATCATGGCTCAATAGCCAACACCAATCCTGAAGCCAGACACATTAGGCAGCTTCCTCAATTCATTATATATTAGCTTAAAAAGTTAACATAGAAATGATGATTAAAAAGGCAAAATTACTAGTTTCTGTCTAACAAGTTGGCAGGGGTGGTGAAGGCACTAGAAAGTGGTTTGGCAGTACAAGATGTTGAAATAAGAGCGGCGGGGCTGCGTCCCCAGCACCCTGGCCGCCTGTTAGCTCATGCCCGAAATAACAACACACAAACTGTATTCATTTAAATGAATTGGCCCATTTCTATCTAGCCTCTTCTAGGCTAATTCTCGCACTTGGACTAGCCCATTTCTAATAATTGTTTGTAAGCACCCCAAGGTGCGCTTACCGGGAAGATTCTAACCTACGTCCATTCTGGGTCGGAACTTCATCGCGTATGCCCAGGAAAGCGAAGCAGGGCCTCTGCTCCAGAGAGCAGAGCTGTCGACTCTGTCTGAGGAGTCTTACCTCACTTCCTCTTCCTCCTGTTTACTCCTCCCACCTATGTTCTCACCAATCAGGGCCAAGGCAGTTTATTTATTACTTAATGAATGAAATCAACAGATTGGTATATGACACTCCCACATCAACAAGAGAACTGACACTTTCTGGTGTTGATTGACAGAGTTTAAAGTCGTGTCCATTCTATGAGTGATCCCTACTGAATGGAGAAGTTTAGCCTCCTACCAATTTCTCCACCCTTTGCTAGCATTGCCCAGTACGACTCAACATGGAGGAATGCTGGGAGGACTTCCCTGAGGAGTAGCCATGGCCTTGCACCACATTCTGCGGTGGCGCTTTACTGTGCTCACATCATTATGTTCTATCCCCATCCTTCTGTTTAGCAAACTCCCTGGTCTGATGTAGTGCCTTTGCATCAGAATAAACTGCAGAGAGTGCTCAAAGACTAGCCGGAAATACGTGCATTTTTCAGGAGGCATGTGTGTCACACTGCCATTTATGATTGGAAGCAAACAGAAGCCATCATAATGTGCGATGGTAATGGATTGGTTAATTAAGGTACATGTGCAATGGATGCAGTTACTAAGAAGATTTTCTGTGTAACCAATAGAATAAGAATTAAATGTTAAATGGAAAATGGACAGTTATTATAGCCTAAACAATTTAATTCAAGTACATCTACTATCATTTGAATTAGCTGTTGACTATTATGTTTTTAAATATTATTAATTTTTTTATCTCTTTAAAGAATGAAACCCACAATTCTTTCTTCTTGGAAGTCCTGGGGACTCTTATTTATTTATTTGATCCAACAGTTCAGTGTGGAGTCACCATCCATCTACGTAGGCTTCCTTTCTTGTAGGTGTCACATTTTCCAATTCCCAAATAAGAGAATGCTTTTAAAGTTGACAGAACAGTTCTGTGAGTTATTGCATCTCTTGATTTCTTTGCCAGTCTCCAGCTGAATGAGTAATTGAAAGATTCTAAACTGGGCGTGGCAGTGTATGCCTGTAATTTGAGATGTGGAGACAGAAGAATCAGGAGTCCAGGGCCCTCTTGAGCTACATAGCCAGTTTGGAGACAGTCAGAACTACACAAGACCTTGTTTTTTTTTTTCAACTTTTGCCTCCATTTATACCCACACGCCAGAAGAGGGCGCCAGATCTCTTTACAGATGGTTTGGAGCCACCATGTGGTTGCTGGGAATTGAATTCAGGACCTCTGGAAGAGCAGACAGTGCTCTTAACCACTGAGCCATCTCTCCAGCCCCAAGACCTTGTTTTAAACAAGCAAGCAAACAAACACAGGAACAAATAAAAAGCACAAAAGTAAAAAGATACTATATGTATGTATGTATGTGTATATGTATATATGTATTGTATGTATATAGCCTACATATTAATTTCCTTCTAATCAAGATTTTCTTAATTAGATTTTTAAAGAAGTTTTTTTCTATTCTACCCTTCTCTTCAGGGTTTCCTATACAGTGTGGTTCCTCTATTTCGCTTTCATACCCCATTGTATTCACGGTTTCTGAAGTGAAACTGCTCCTGTAGACTGTGACCTATCCGTATAGGGTTACATGATAAATATCTATAATCTAATTAGACTTTTCATTCTGGTCCCACCAGAATTAACTACTTCTGTATGTTGATATAAGCTGAGCAATAAGATAAACTACTTTGAATTGATTGAATTCTAAAGGGTTTTTACTTTGGATAGAATAGCAGTAATTTTTTTCTGATAACCAGTTTACATAGGAAAGTTACAAATGTCTGAAAAGAGAAACTTCAGTAAGGTTTCAATAGTCTATGTTTGTAGGAGTCAGCTGGAGTCTGGTGCTCATCTGTTGCTTGCCAGCCAATACTAGTGTTTTGTTTGCTATTGTTTGGTAACTCATAGTAAGTTGGACTGCCTAATGCGGACCTTAACTAGAAGAAAACACTACTATATTTGAAAGTTGTATTTTGTAATATATTTTAGTCATGTTCTAGCAGTGTGACCTTGTGTAAACCTGTTTTCTTACCTCAAATATTTGTTCTTTTTTTGGATACAGTATGCAAAAGTGCTATTATTAATCCTAACAAAATATTTCCTAGCCATATAATAAAGAGCAGGTAGTGAATGGGAAAATAAAAAGGTGAACATGTAACACTTCCTTTGTATTCTGTCATGATTACAAAGGTTGGGAAGAATCTCCAGGTTGCAAGACACCATTTCTCCAACCATAGTTAGCCACCAGTAAGGTACCATTTCTTCAACCACAGTCAGCCACCAGTAAGGTACCATTTCTTCAACCACAGTCAGCCACCAGTATCTCTCAGTGTTGTTTAGCGATGACTGGATGTGACTCTGACCAGAAAGTAGCAGTATTTAGGACATCTCAAGGGTTGTACGCACTGTCACACTTCCTTGATAAGTACTATACTGCATTGTATTCTTTTTTGTATTACTTTTTTCTTTCTTCATCAAGATTTATGCACAGTTTCTATTTATTCAATGGTATGATTATGGGTATGATAATGTACAGTTTGCTATTTTTCATTTTTAGATATCTCAGAATTAATATTTCATCTTAATAGCATGCTTACATTTGTGATGGAGTAGAAAATATTATGACAATTTAAATACATACTTAGGGTAGATTGTAATTAGATGGGGAATATATTGTTTCTCTTAAAATGCAGTGAACTGTTCATATTTAACAATTTTTGAATTTCAGTATTTAAACAA